GAATACGTCAAAGTTAGCGCGATGGAATTTCGATAACGATAACGAAATGTATGAAACTGAAGAAATCATGCCGACACGTCAAATCCCGGGTCGAAATTGCCACTCTCGGGGAAGACACTGACCCAGATACCGATGTACATGGGGAAGGTCGTATGTAAACATAGGTTTACATACGGTGGAACTATATACATATATATATATATAGATATATATATATATATAATATATATATATTGACATGCCTATATATATACATACTCTTGAGTGAATAATACTGGGGCTGGCGCGTGCGCGCATATGTATACATAAACTCACACAGGCGCGTGGCCACGGGTAGCGCATAAAGTAGAGGATTACGTATTTTCTTCTCTCGCTCACTGGAGTTTGCATATGTGTTGAATGCATGCGTGTTTATACGCACACTGTAATAGCAACGGTATACGGGGTGTATCGCGAAATGTTTACCACGTTGATTAACTGCACAGGCTTTTCCGAGCAAGAGTGAAGTTAAATTTGGCAATGCATGTGTGAGTAGAGTACACATTAAGTATCATGACTTTTTGTAATAACGATGATTGAGAGGTTGCATTTTTATAAAATTATTTTTATGAAATATTTTTTTCTTATTTTATCAAATATATTAATTTTATTGCGTTAATCATGTTGTACAATCATTTTAGAGTCTCTAAATAAAATTCATAAATTTTGCTAGAATTTTATGATAAGCTTCAAAATTAATGCAGCTAACATAGTTTGTGCGTTTATATCTCATTTAACACAAAATATGATATAAACGTGCTCCAGAGGTGTTTCGAATTTTACATTATTATTTTAAATAAATCAAATATAGGAAAAAATTAATTAGAGAACTTTTTGTAACGTAGATACATTGCGACGTAGATAGAAAAACGATACATTGGAACCATATAAATTCGTCAAAAAGATAGAATTTTCCGATACACCCTGTATACACGCACTGTGCAAGCGTATGGATATTTACATAGTAAACGAGCGTACGCGCGCGTGTGCGTCAACGCGTAAGAGCGTAAGCTTATGAATGAAACTGTAGTAGTGACGAGTACACGTACGTTCGTACGTGAAGTTATATCGATGACTCAGTCAGTCTCGCTGACTCTCTTTACAACTCGCGCAATTTACAAGCGCTTTCTCAAGGGATCGTTGAACTCCGCCGAGTGTTGTCTTTTTCCACCACTTTTGTACTAACTATTATTAGATTCATTCAAATCCAGAAGTTCGTTAAACCCATAAATTAATTTTACGTGATGTAATAATTAAAGTATAATGAAAACTTTGGAAAATCCGCAAATATGAGACACTTTTAAATTGAGACTTAAAAAAACGAGGCAATTTTGTCGAGGCGAAATTAAAACGCGGTTCAGAAAAAATTTATAACAGAGGAAAAAATTTGCATTAAAATTCATTTAATGAAATATTCACAGTTTTAATACATATTGTATATTGTTGATAAATTTTAATTCTTTGCAAAAAACGTAATTATTTGTTTAGAATGCGATAATTCTAACAAGTCTTCGCGCTAATTAAATGGGATCGTGATGCTCGCTTATGATGTATGTATTTCGGAACACATTTGTGGTTTTTAATTTTTTGACGTAACAATTGGTTATACATGAATAGACAAACGATAGGCAAGATATACCACGATGGTCACGGTAATCAACGGTTGTGGTCGATGGTATTCTACTGTCTGTATCAACAGTTAACAACGGCAAAATGGCCATTTCGCGTTTCCGTTCGCCGTTGCGTGCCGATCTATAATTTAACAAAATGTAATGTTCGAAATGATCGATAGCCGAAGATAATTATTATGTCACACTTACACGCAGTAATGGACGCATGGGTCACGTAATTGTGTTCCGCTTTGACGAGCATCGACCAGGCGCGCAAAGGCGTGCTCTTAATTACAAAGCAGTCTGATAGAATTGTATAATCTTTTATATAATATTTTTTTTTCATCACATTATCGATACAAACGGCACTATCTTATCACGCTCTTTTGTTTATCGCAAATTAAATGAAACGAACTGTTGTTGGATTTAATAAGGACGACTGACGGAAAGGATAAACATTACAATTTATGCTTTTCATAATTCATTTTTGAGAGACGCAGGAGCGAACAGATTAATATACTGACGTTTTGCGTTACGCTATCACCAATAAAAGTTATTGTTATTGCGAACGATGCCGCTAATTTAAATATTTGCACGTGCGTATGCATGTGTGTGCGATTGACGTTCGGCTGACGAGCGTCACGTTATTCATGAATTATGGATACAATTGAAGCGCTTGATATCGGTGCGGTGCTGCTTTTTTGCGCGCGTGGGAGTCTGCCTTTTCACGCTGCGCTAGGTTGAGGCTCTCGGCCGTTATCAACGTCGGCAGAGATAAGAGCCTTCTTCATTAATTAATGAATTAATGCTCCGGCAGATAAAATCGGCCAAGGTCGCGCGAGCCATTGAGCCTCGGGGTCTTTAATCCGCGTCACCAGGGCAAATCGTCTTCCGCATGGCGGAAAAAACTAAAGGCCGTGTCAGAGTGCGCGTAATTAATTGTATAACAGATTATTGATTATTCGCGAACGTGTGCGGAAAGTTGAAGCGCATAGAGAATATAAGATAGCGGACTTTCATCGCTAATGACGTTGTTTTTCTGAAAGAATTTTTTTCGTCCACGCGAGGAAATGTTTCAGTCATAGATGTTTGCTACGGTAAAAATTTGCGTAAACTCCTCCATTCGAGAGTACAGATTGTGCGACACAGAACTTCACACAGCCGTTTGAATTATCGAAAGATCGTGTTATCTTGGCGAATCTTGGATTAATATATTACGCTGTATAAATATAATTTATTTCCATGCGACTGCAATATTTCAATGTCACATTGTCAAATTCGCTTCAATTTGTCTTTCATTCTTTGCTGCATATTTAAACGCACGTATTTTAGTTCGGCGACAAGTAACACGGCGGAAAGTATCTCGGCCGGAAGTTAACGCGAATGTAAACTGAAACGAGGCTCGCGAAATTTCGAGATATTTCTTGCTCGAGTTTCTGAAGATTAGAATACCTTTCATCTTGCTCGCATAATAACGTTTCACCGGGGGTAGTACATCGTCTTGCCGTTTCCAGGTCTGCGTGGTAATTTGGTTTATGAGATAATATTTGGATTATATCCAGAACGCGGTTAGTAGACTTCAGCACGGAAACCTATTTTCTCTGATAGACTTGTTGAACGGTGTCAACGTTAATGCATATTTTTTTAACTGACAAGCATAAATGCGCGAAAATTTATACATGATATTTCGGTACCGTTTATCTTTCCAATCTTTAACTATATATGTACATATATCAATGAGTACATAAAACATTGGAGCAAATAAAGCATATACAAATACGAAGTTTGTCTTCCATCTCTTTCGAAAAATTCTTGCTGAAAGAAATGTCATTTATCAATCATATGTCGTTGTAATATTAATATCTTTGTTCGGATTTTGATTTATATTTTGGAAAACTTGGAACATTCAATAATAATCCTGAATAATGCAGTATACAAGAATAATAGCGGAAAACCTATAACGATACGTGTAGTCGGTTGCGCGGTCAGTGTATTATTTGTAAGGAAGATAGTTTCATAAAAAAATACCCGCATTATGCTGAAACCATAGACGTGCTGCGAGCGGGCGCGAGGCATCGTGTGTTGCTTGTGTGCTTCGCAAGTGAACTCATAAAAATTTTAGTGCCGGCGTTTGATGCGACACAGCTCTCCCGGCGGAACAATGTTACGCGCGAGCGCGATGTACGATCATTTCGGCTAGACACGTGCGTTGCGTAGCTATCATATCGATCATGATTTCTATCGAAATGCGACGCGGACGCGTCCGAATAGCGACTTTGCCACAGTGAAGCAAGCAACGCTAACATTGACTCGGCATTCATGCATTAGCGTGCGCCAATGTAAACGCTTTCGCTACATTCATGTGTTTCCTTTCCCGCGGCGAACGCGATCGATGGCAAATATTACTTTGGTCAATTTCAGCCGGCAGTCTATTTACTTGTTTGTGGTATCACTTTGCTGTATTGATAGGGAAAAGTCGAGAGCGCGGGAGATCGTGAGAGGAAGGGTGATGGGAAGCTAGGGGGAATGGGACGGCGAATGCCGATGCGGGTACGAATCCACAGTTTATATGCGCGATGCGCTTTCGTGCATCGACTAGCGCACGCGTAATTACGAATACTAGATTCAGCCACTTATCTCCCCCAATGAGCCTTTCGACCAGCTAACTATTGTTATGTTACAATATGTATAAATAGTGATAAATGCGATTCAGAATTAATCGGACTCGAAATTATGATAACCGTTGCGGGTGTGGAGAAATATTTTATTTAGATTTTACTATTGAGACCACTTTGCAGTCTGTAATTACAAAGACACACGATCTCTATTAATAATAATAAAATGGTTAGTTTTTTAATAGAGTTTTATCACGCTTGAGGCTATTTTTTAATAAATAAATACTACGTTTAAATTCTTTTAGATGATTAAAATATTGCTTACAATATTGAAGTGTTTATTTATTTTGGAAGTGACGTATTTAATGATTAAATCCGTGCCTTACTACGAGTGTTAATTTTACATTAGAGATGAAAACAGTTCTTTTGATTTGTAATAATGCTGTTCTCAAGTTGGAAATGTTTAAACCGCTGCTCGAACAAAGTCGTTTCAAGAAGTAGAATAATATAAGTTTTAGGAACGAGAGAGTAACTTCTGTCCTAAGAACGAGACATTCATTTTATTCTCTAGTTTAATCGGAATATCTTACGCGCAGTGCAATGGAGCGATAAACGATTCGACAAACGCGAATACAATCGATGGAATATCCGAGAACAATCACTACGATCGATGATATTAGAAAATCTTATATGTCCGACGTTGTTATTAATGACATAATGTATTTTTGCGTTTCAGATGCGATGGAGCCTCGTGGCGTCGGCTTCTACTATGAGTTGAGGCTTCGTAATTAATCGGTGAGTGCATAAAAATCTTCGCTTACATGTATGTGTGCATGATACATACGGTAACGAATGGGTGCGCTATAACGAGAGAGCCGCGAGATCATTAAGCGATGCCCATACGCGCGGATCGTACATACATAATATCTCCTAAATTGCGAATTTAATATCACGAATTTTATTGCGCGCGAGCGCTTCCTTTATCTCGCAATTTGCGTCCGACGCACGATTATATTAATCGCCCGCTGTCGCGATTTATTAATCACGTTTTTTTTTTCATCAGCAGGTTAGTAGAAACGCGATTAACCCGCGGCGATTTTCGCAAGCGCACACACGAGCACTTCCACACACGATCGCTGATCTTTTTCTCTGTACGAGCGAGCGAGAGGGATGCGTCGAGAATACGCGCGACGCATTAATATTTCACTATCGGGTTTTCTATTTTTATATCGCGAGCGCTATAACAGAAGCTTCGATGTATATATATATACCGCGCGTCACGTTCAACTTTTTTTTTTTAAACGTCTCATGTGAAATAACGCCTCTTTTAACTTCCGATACGGCTATAGAAGGCTGTAAAACCAAACACGTGTTGTTGTAAAAAAGTACAGTTACGTAAAATTCCTTTCTGTTATTTCAAAGCAGTTTCAAGTTCGTCAAAAGTTTCGCAAAACATCGTTTTGCGCCAACTATCGCGCACAAGATATTAAATCATTCATTATGAAACTTTCATTTACGACTTGATTTCTCAATGATACTTTAGCGAAATTTCAAGCATTTGATTGGAACACTGTGTTCACGCCGAGCTGAAACTTTTGCTGTAAATCGGATTGCTGAATGGAGTGCCACCGGAGCGTTATTATGACTTCATTTTGCAATCGATTTGCGTTTGAACCGCTCGCCGGCGCGAGCGAGAGCGGGCGACGGCGGTTTTCACTGTAGGCGTCGACATTCTCGAAAGAGATTACGGCGCTCGCCCGGCGCATTTCTTCGTATCGATCGCCGCCGCGAATACTCCCACATAATTCGCTTATTACAGCTTCCGCGTATCTCCGCGTTTTCCCCACGGTATTGCCGGCTTCTCGGAAAAAGTATGCGCGCTCGGTCGGGAGGAACACCTACTCGTTCGTGCATTGCTTGCCCGCTCGCCCGCCCGCTCGCTCGTTCGCTCGTTCGCACGTTTCTCGTTTCTCGTGTTGCGCGCGAGCACATCGCCGACTATAATTGCAGTCGATGCGACGTATGTACGTTAGCATGACGCCCGGTCGCCCCGTTGCGTACTACGTGTTGGTGCACTAAATGTGCACGGGCATCTGTGTGTTC